TTGTTGAGCAACTGCTGAAAACTTTCTTAAAATATGGTAAATGCAGCATGCCTATTCGTTTCCTTCTTGAATGATTACTTTCACTCCTACATAGCTTAATAAATCTGATATACAGTAGTACAAGAATTTGCCAGTCAAAAATAGAACTGTTTAGTACTTAACAGATTTTTCCTCTTCAAATATTTTGTACAATATAATGTTTTTTTCCAGTACTTTTACATTACTTATCAGGGAGGCAAAACTTTAGTTCAAAGAGTCTTCACTGTCATCATCTATAACAGTGCCACAATGTGCACCTTTCTTAATTTCTGTCAATTTACTCTATTGAAATCTTGAAAAAAAAATTCTTTTAAACCCCATGATGCTATCTTATATGGGTGGCTGGTGACCTGGTGCTAAAAGCTCTCATTTCACACGGTGAGGGTCCGGGTTCGATTCCATGCAAAGGTTGGAAACATTGGGCGTGTTTCCTTACACTGGTTGCCTATGTTCACTTATCAGTACAATGGGTACCTGGGTGTTAGTAGACTGGTGTGGGTCGCATCCCGAGACAACACTGACCAAATATGCCTGAAATGCTATGCATAACAAGCAGTTTTCTATAAAGTAATACAGTGGACCCCCGCATACCGTTGGCATCACATAACGATTAATCCGCATACTGCTTGCTTTAATCGCAAAAATTTTGCCTCGCATACCGCTTAAAAACCCGCTCATCGCTGTTCGTCCGAGACGCGTCCAATTTGCGCCTTAGCCAGCCTCAAATGTTCCGCCGGTGGCATTGTTTACCAGCCAGCCTCCGCGGTAGCATCCAAGCATACAATCGTAACATTTCGTATTATTACAGTGTTTTTGGTGATTTTATCTGGAAAATAAGTGACCATGGGCCCCAAGAAAGCTTCTAGTGCCAACCCTACAGCAATAAGGGTGAGAATTACTATAGAGATGAAGAAAAAGATCATTGATAAGTATGAAAGTAGAGTGCGTGTCTCCGAGCTGGCCAGGTTGTATAATAAACCCCAATCAACCATCGCTACTATTGGTGGTACAGCTGCTGCTGCTGCACTGTCAGCTGCTGCTGCTGCTGTAGCATCGTCTGCTGCTGCTGTAGCATCGTCTGCTGCTGCTGTAGCATCGTCTGCTGCTGCTGTAGCATCGTCTGCTGCTGCTGTAGCATCGTCTGCTGCTGCTGTAGCATCGTCTGCTGCTGCTGTAGCATCGTCTGCTGCTGCTGTAGCATCGTCTGTTGCTGCTGTAGCATCGTCTGTTGCTGCTGTACCACCGTCAGCTGCTGCTGCTGCTGTAGCACCGTTGTTGGTGTGGCTTATTGAGAATACCAAGAAACAATTAACCCCAGAGGATTTGCCACCCAGGATAACCCAAAAAAGTCAGTGTCATCGAAGACTGTCTAACTTATTTCCATTGGGTCCTTAATCTTGTCTCCCAGGATGCAAAACCCCCACCAGTCGACTAACACTCAGGTGAACAGGGAAAAATGCCTGGAACTAGTGCTCATATTGGTGAATTTAAAGCCAGCAAAGGTTGGTTTGAGAGATTTAAGAATCGTAGTGGCATACACAGTGTGATAAGGCATGTTCTGAAGAAAATACCAAACAGGACCTACAGTACTCAGGAGGAAAAGGCACTCCCAGGACACAGTGTTTCATCAGTCATTGCTGCATCTTCAATAAAGGTAAGTGTCATTTATTCTTCATTTAGTAGACTAGTACATGCACAATATATACTGTGCATGTACTACTCTACTATTGTGCATGTATCCTTCTCTTTGTGTGTAGGAAAATGTATATTTCACGTGGTAAAAATTTTTTTTTCATACTTTTGGGTGTCTTGCACGGATTAATTTGATTTCCATTATTTCTTATGGGGAAAATTCATTCGCATACCGATTATTTCGCATACCAATGAGCCCTCTTGCACGGATTAAAATCGGTATGCGGGGGTCCACTGTATGTCACTGATGTCAGCTAGGTCTGTATACCTTATATGTACATGTATACTTGTAGAAATATATTATATTATTATTCTTTCTTTACATCAACATCCAAGAATGGGGTGGAAGGATGCATGGGGAGTAGATATACAGAATAGTGTGGGGGAAGGAGTAAAAAGACAACAAAAAACCATCTCCAAATACATTCTGTCATACTACATGCTCGTCAGGACTGAAAAGCAAGACACGTCACGGATTCTGTGTATTATCTGAATGTAAAGTACAGTAGACCCTCGCCTAACGATATTAATCGGTTCCTGAGAGCTCAACGTTAGGCGAAATTATCGTTAGCCGAATTAATTTTCCCCATAAGAAATAATGGAAATCAAATTAATCCGTTCCTGACACCCCAAAGTATGAAAAAAAAAATTTACCACATGAAATATTAATTTTAATACACACAAACTGAAGAAGGCATGCACAGTTACATGACACTTACCTTTATTGAAGATCTGGTGATGATTGACGGGATGGGAGGAGGGGAGTGTGTGGATGGTGTTAATGTTTATGAGGGGAATCCCCTTCCATTAGGACTTGAGGTCCTAATGCCACTAGGACCAGCTTGAGAGTCACTGGACCTCTGTCGCACAACATATCTGTCAATAGAGGCCTGTACCTCCCGTTCCTTTATGACATTCCTGAAGTGTTTCACAACATTGCCAGTGTAATAATCACCAGCACGGCTTGCAATAGCTGTGTTAGGGTGATTTTCATCAAAAAAGGTTTGCACTTTAAGCCACATTGCACACATTTCCTTAATCTTTGAAGTAGGCAACTTCCTCAATTTCTCTATCCCCTCCTCCGGAGCAGTTTCCTCAGGTCTGGCCTCTTGCTGTTGAAGATGATCTTGCAGCTCATCAGTGGTTAGTTCATCATTGTCCTCCTCCACCAACTCTTCCACATCCTCCCCATTAACCTCCAACCCCAAGGACTTCCCCAATGCCACAATTGATTCCACAACTGGCATAGGATTCTCAGGGTTAGCCTCAAATCCTTCAAAATCCCTTTCGTCTACACATTCTGGCCACAACTTCTTCCAAGCAGAGTTCAAGGTCCTCTTACTCACTTCCTCCCAAGCCTTACCTATAAGGTTTACACAATTGAGGATATTAAAGTGATCTCTCCAAAACTCTCTTAGAGTCAATTGAGTTTCTGAGGTCACTACAAAGCACCTTTCAAACATAGCTTTTGTGTAGAGTTTTTTGAAGTTTGCAATGACCTGCTGGTCCATGGGCAGCAGGAGAGGAGTGGTATTAGGAGGCAAAAACTTCACCTTAATGAAGCTCATTTCCGCAGAAAGTCGCTCTGTCATGTCTGAAGGATGACCAGGAGCATTGTCTAATACCAGGAGGCACTTAAGGTCCAATTTATTTTCCAGGAGGTAATTTTTCACAGTGGGGGCAAATGCATGGTGTAACCAGTCATAGAAAAAGTCCCTAGTGACCCATGCCTTACTGTTTGCCCTCCACAGCACACACAAATTAGCCTTGAGGACATTGTTTTTCCTGAACACTCCGGGAGTTTCTGAGTGATACACCAATAAAGGCTTAACTTTGCAATCACCACTAGCATTGGAACACATCAACAGAGTAAGCCTGTCTTTCATAGGTTTATGTCCTGGGAGTGCCTTTTCCTCCTGAGTAATGTAGGTCCTGCTTGGCATTTTCTTCCAAAACAGGCCTGTTTTGTCACAATTAAACACTTGTTCAGGTTTCAGTCCTTCACTATGTACTCCTTGAATTCCTGCACATATTTTTCAGCCGCTTTGTGGTCCAAACTGGCAGCCTCACCATGCCTAATCGCACTATGTATGTCACTACGATTCTTAAATCTCTCAAACCAACCTTTGCTGGCCTTAAATTCACTCGCATCACCACTAGTTGCAGGCATTTTTCTAATTAAATTGTCATGCAACTTCCTAGCCTTTTCACATATGATAGCTTGAGAGATGCTATCTCCTGCTATCTGTTTCTCGTTTATCCACACCAATAACAGTCTCTCAACATCTTCTATCACTTGCGATCTCTGTTTCGAAAACAAAGTTGAACCTTTGGCAAGAACAGCTTCCTTGATTGCCCTTTTCTTGGCCACAATAGTAGCGATGGTTGATTGGGGTTTTGTGTACAACCTGGCCAGCTCGGAGACACACACTCCACTTTCATACTTAGCAATGATCTCTTTCTTCATATCCATAGTAATTCTCACCCTTTTTGCTGTAGGGTTATCACTAGAAGCTTTCTTGGGGCCCATGGTGACTTATTTTGCAGGTGCAATCACTAAAAAGGCTGTGATAATATGAAATGTTCTGACTGTATGCTTGGATGCGACCGCGGTGGCTGGCTTGTAAACACTGGCACCCACGGAACAAGTGAGGCAGGCTCAGGCTGCACGTGGACGCGTCTCGAACGAATCACGTTGAGCGAGTTTTTTAGCGCTAGCTGAGGCAAAAATTTTGCATTAAAATGTATCGCTAGGCGGATTTAACGTTATGCGATGCCATCGTTAGGTGTGGGTCCACTGTAGTTGGTGATGCATGACTATCTTTTGTTCCACAAAGAAATAAAAATTAAAACACTATGTTCAACAAAAACAGAGCTAACATCATCTTCCTACTTAAAATTACTGTTGACAACCCTGATACAACACGTCATCCTTAAGAGTTACTGAAGTACAGTACAGGTGCTCCTCGACTTTAAAGATGGTGCAAAAGTAATTACTTTGGAGATGAAACTTAATTACCAAGCATTAAAATGGTAAGTCCATAACTTGTATTCATTTATTTACTCTTCGATACTGGTATTTAGTTACAGTAATTATTTGTTTATTTACTTGTTCAGTGACAGTTATTTACACATTTATTTAACATATCATAGTCATATTAGACATATTTTAGACTTACGATGGGTTCGTTGGAACGTAACCCCATTGTAAGTCAAGGAGCACATGTATATGAAAGGGAGAGTACATGCAATTCTTACAACCTACTCAC